GGGGTGCTTACAATGGTTTTAAGGTTGGGGATATGAGATTAAGGATTTCTGATAGAAACAATCGCAAAAATGTTTTATGAATTTTGTTAAGCGTTCACAGTACCTCAGAACTGTCCATAAGTGCTTCAGGTTCCATGCCTAAGTTAGTTTGTATTGGCCGAATGAAGGCAATGGCTTGCCCCAACCCTGCTGAATCCCTTAGATATGGTACGCTGTATCCACTGCGTGGTGGCTGTATGACCATCAACTCATTGGCTTGTGGACCACGCCTCATAATTTCAAAGCCTCCGCCATTTTCTAACTTTGGATAAATCTCTTCCAGCTTTGTTTTCACTTCTGCCGCAGTCGCTTTCCAGTTAAAACAAATCTTTTTCCGGCCTAAGCCAGCTTGTTGTAAGCGTGTCTTGAGAGCTATACTGGGAGCCACAATTTGCTCGCGATTGGCCAAGCAAAAAAATGTGTGTGTCCACGTTTCACACACTTTAAATTTCGGAACAGCATTTTGTTTCTTTCGCTTACTTGGTGGATGAGCTGATTGGTGTGAGGAACTGAGACTTCTTCGGTTACTGCTTCCATAAGGAGCAAAAAGATCTCTAAAATTACCTAGCGATCATTCCCTAACACTGTTGACCAGCAATGGCGAAGGGGTTGAACTTGTATTACTTTCGGTACTACCTGATATGTTTTGCCTTTGGTTTATATTGTCCGTTCGTTGATGATGCTGTTGTTGGCCTTGGGATATCGCGTTTTGAATAGGCTCACTGTTTAAAAATTGGGTTGTTGACGTATCTGATGAGCCAGAATATTCTCCAATCAACCTTGTTGCCTCCTGCAATAAGGAAACTGCTCGCCGACGATCAAAGCCTTCACCCTCGGCCATATTGGAATTACCATTTTCGCGCGTTTTGCCCAAATAAGGCTCTCGCTTCTGGTTGTCAAATTTTGGTTTCTGAGTGCCACGCCGAATGAAATTTCAAGCCGAATGAAATTTCAAGCCGAATGAAATTTCAAGCCGAATGAAATTTCACAAATATTGAATTCACGCCGAATGAAATTGCACGGCGAATATTGATTTCACTCCGAATGAAACATGAATATCACTCCGAATGAAATCGCAAGCCGAATGAATTTTCACTCCGAATGAAATTCGCCATAATTGCAAGTAGGCATTGCATAATTGCACAACAAAATGCAATAAATGCAATTTTGAATAGCATGATTCAATAAATGAATTTTGGCGGATATCACACCTCATAGGAAGCAAGGTCCTGGATAGGCTGGTTTCCAATTCCAGAACTGATTACTTTGTTTTGAATGAAAAGGACACTACAAAAGCGATTTTGAAGTGCTTTAAAGAGCTGCTGTTTTGAACAGAAGTGTATGTATTTCCAGAACTACAGCGCTAAAAATTGATCAGGTTGTTGCAACATTGTTCGCTGAACAACGTTGCAACAATGAGGTTATCATGGCTGAACAACGTTGTTCAAGCGACAATGTTGTTCAACATTGTTCCATCAACATTGTTAGAGGTTGATGAGTGAACAATATTGTTGCGCTGTTGTTGGAACAGGGCTCGACAATAGTTGATGGAACAACTTGCTAACGGTTGTCAGAACAATATTGTTCTACATTGTTGAATCATCATGCCTGAACAATATTGTTCGAACAAGTGTGAACAATATTGTTGAATAAACAAGTTGTTTTTAGTTGTTCAAACAATAATTAACAATGTTGTTATTTGAACAAGTTGATTTTAGTTGTTCAAACAATAATTAACAATATTGTTAAAAGCAAAGAGCTGAGTAATATAAATTTGTATTAAAAAACTGAATAATATATATATTTATAGTATTAATAATATTTTAATATATTTATAGTATTTTTAAAGGAATGTTTTATGCAATATACGGTATTTAAATCATTTAATTCCTGGATAATTAATAATATGTCATCACAACAAATTTATTAAACACAAACCATGGTCATGGATTATGTTGCTATTTGACTATTGTAATAAATTTTACTGTATTAAAACGGGAATTTAATCAGGTGTGTCTGTCTGAAGCCAGGTAAACATTTATATACTGTTCAGTTAAACATGAATGCAACCAAATAGAAAATATTGAACTGAAAATAGACAAATAATATATTAAAGATATTAAAGATATTAATTACGCTTTAGGCAAGATCCCTCTTTGTTAATATTTCCTACTTACTTTTCATCTTGTGTTTATATGAGAATCGAGCTGGCTCGCTTCTAGCCGAGGGTCCCGCTTTGTGTGACCAAGAGACCTCAGATAAACAGGCTGGGTAGTTTTCGATATAAACACATTTTTCATGAGCTGGCTCGGCTTTTAAAGTGCCACTAACCCCCTAAATTTTCTTTTCATAAAATCAATAACCGCTATTTATGGAGTACAAAAATGAAAAAAAATTTTTAATCGGTTGAATTCTCGCTATTCTATGGCTTCTCAAAGTTTGAAAAATTGCCCTAAAATCGACGCCATTTTGTCCCACGCGCGAGCGCCGATGATCTGGGCTTGTGACGTCAATTGGTGAACCGGCTGTTGTGTCAACACAAGTGTTTACAGTGCTAGGCGAGTTTGTTAGGCATGCGAACGGCGAGAAAATGCCGAAAAGATGCGTTGTTGCCGGTTGTAACAACATAGGAGATAAGGAAAAAGAAATATCGTTGCATGCAATTTCTTATTCGGGGGACGAACGGCCCGAAGCGAAAAAAAAAACGAAAGAAATGGACTGACTTCGTACTAAGCCTCAAACGTGCAAAATGGACGCCGACGTCGTATTCAGTCATATGCTCTGAGCATTTCAAGCCCGAGGATTTTTTTGCGACGGTTTTCCCATGTCGAAGGTGAAAGTTTCGTTGGCAACAGATGGCTCAAAAGGGACGAGATCGGAATTTGTGTATTCCCAACAATCATGCCATCAGCTGACGCACAGAAAGTTTCAGACAGATACAAGAGAATGGTATGCTAATTTTGTATTTTATACATAATTGTGCGTAACTTGAATTTGTTTGACTAAACTGATTTAATTAATAAACATATCATTATATAACATGCTAACACTTAAACTGATATACAGTAATTGGGTAAAGCATATAAGAAAGACAATTTCGTTTAGTCTGTGAGAGCTTTCTTTGTCATTACAGTAATTCTGTCTTCAGACTTCAGCCTTGCAGATTTTTGTAATTTCCGTGTGCAATTTGATACAGTATTATACAGTGATATAATTCTCCATCTATGTCTCTTGCTATGCCTATGTTTTAGTGAAGTCAATATGCCCACTATGACCCATAGGTGTGTATTTTAAGGATGTCTGAGGAGGGTATCATATTTGACTGTCAAAATAATTATAGTGAAATATTGATCAATGCATACCATGTACCCATGTATATATATATCCATGTTTGATTTGTACAGATTATGTCGAAGAAATATTTCAAACTTTTCTCAATGTTACCAAAGATGATCTTAAAAAGGCAGCCAAGCAACTCAAAGAGTACGGTGTCTTTGCAAAGTGTTGCCCACTGCCTATGGCCCATAGATAAGTTACCCAGTATGCTTGCTGTTAATATAAATCTTTTTGTTACTGTAGTTTCACTACTATGTTGTTGAACAGAGCCAAAAGAAGTCTAAAGCAGCACCAAAATGCAGGGCATGTGAACAACCCATGAAAGGACACAAGTTTGTTACAGACTGTCCAAGGAATGAAAGGAGCACATCATAGTGTATTATATGGATAAGGCATTTGAGGAGGGAGGGCATATTGGGAGGTGGTTTTTTTTTCAGAAGGGCATATTAGTATTATTCAGGATTTTGGGGATTTATAATAGAGATTGGGGCTTATATTACAGCAGGAAGGGTCTTAACAGAGGGGAAATATTTGGAAGGGTGGTGCTTATTAGGGATGGAGCTTACTAGGGAGGGTGGTGCTTATTAGGAGAGGACTCAATAGAGTGGGTACTTTATAAGGAGGGTAGTGCTTATTAGGGGGGGGGGTGGCTAATAGAGAGGGTGTTTATTGGGAGGGTGGTGATTATTGTGGAAGGGGCTTAATAGGGAGGGGGCTTAATAGGGAGGGTGCTTTATAGGCAGGGTGGTTATATTTGTTAAATAAATTATATTATGCACTACTTGTATCAAGTTTGCTCTACTTTACTTGTTTTCTATCCCTGATGAACACTAGTCAAAACTGATTTATGTTGATACCAAATATGTTCCATATAGGTTTCATTAGAGTATAATATTTAAATAGTACAGTAAAACCCTGCTTTACAAAAGAACCAGTTCAGACTAGAATTCCAAAACAGCTTCTTATTTTATCGAAGAAGCAAAAAATTAAACATCAATTAAAGAAAATAAGCTCTTTATAAAGTAATGGAAACACTGTTATTTTGTAAACATCTACGGTAGGTTCTTATACGATGGGTTTTACTGTATGTTAGCTTAGTCATTAATTTATTCAAATATTTTATCCTCCTCCATTTCAAATCTGGTAAATGATTCATCTTTTGTGAGAGGGAATGTCTTCCTTATTGCATGGTATGCACATGCAGCAGTGGGATTCTTGTTTTTCCAATTACACCATACACCATCCTTGTAAACTTTCTGTATGCCACACTATGTAAAAACCTAGAAGAAATGAACAACTTTATCATAAGTAATCCTATGTAGACAAATGCAAAAACTATTTCAATAAACTAGTATTTTATATTACAAAGAACAACCCAAACTATAATAGCTATATATAGAAACTATACATACATATAGTTCCTGATTTTGGTTACACCAACATTCATTTTTGAGATGTTGATGCTTATTGGAGACACTGGTCATGGAACAGTGTGTACCCCCATAAATATATCCCTGAAAGAGGATAAAGATCTATATGTTGAACAGTCTGTTTAGTCTTTACATTTTTACACAAATTTTGGAAACAATAGACCTTACCATTTATTCACTAGTGACCAAATGGCCTCGTTTCCATGTTTGCCTATTTTAGCATGGCAGGCGCACATAAAAGTTAAATATTCATGTTTCCTGCACAAGTTTGTCTCTCATTGATTTTAAGTCCAATCACAAGCTTATTCTTTACTCTCTTATGCACAAAACATGAGTTTTAATATCACATGAAAACGAGGCATTGGGTCAAAAGTAAATAAACGGTAAGGTCTATTGAGTTTCAATATATAGGTAACTCTCCCATTAATGTTTAGTAACATTGTCTGATTGTTTAGACAGAGTAAGATAAATATGAGCACACTATCGAGACACAGTGCAGCTTCCAACATTCCTCTCAATGGTCTATCATTATCTAAGTGAAATATGAAACAAATGGTGTTCTGTAATTTTACTCTGCCTGATACTGCTGATTAGGGAAAGTCCATGAACATATAGTTCCGCATGTTCCTTTGTCAAATAAAATTGCCTGGTGTTAGAGAGATTTGTAGGTAGGGTGCATAGCAGCTTATTATTAAATGGTTAAGTAGCAACATTCCAGCTCACAACAGCAATATATTTGCATTCTTGCCAATTACTCAAAAACTCCAGGCTACAATTTTCACATTTGCACCTAATATAAATTATGTAATATTGACAACATGAGTGGCCTTGCCATGCCATGAAATAATCTTTAACGTAAATATGTTTATTAAAATAGTATAGTATAGTATAGTATAGTATAGTATAGTATAGTATAGTATAGTATAGTATAGTATGGTATGGTATGGTATGGTATGGTATGGTATGGTATGGTATGGTATGGTATGGTATGGTATGGTATGGTATAGTATGGTATAGTATGGTATAGTATGGTATAGTATAGTATAGTATAGTATA